TTAGGTGCCTGAGTTCCACATGTGGCAGCAGAGGATTCCTGGGCCTAGGCAGAGCATGAGGGATGCAGCATCCGTCCCTGTAGCAGGGTGGTGTAAGTGTAAATGAAACACAGCCAGTAAAAGACAACGTGAGAGGCAGGGGGGAAAGGAGCTGGGCTACAGCTAGGAAATATCCTCAGGTAGTACAGTTAACATCAGTCCTTGTACATTTTCAGGCCTGGCTGCATATGGAGGAGAACAGGATGTTGTTTTGCAGCAAGTTTTGGAAAGATTGAGTCCTGTTCTACAAGTGCACCCGTTCCCAAGCAGCTAACCCACGTGTTCTGCAGGAACGTGTAGTTGCAGTGAAAATGCCAGTATATGGTTTAATCAAAGCAGCAAGATTTGCTTGCTGGGTTGCATTCCGTGCTGGCTGTGTGTGCCTCTATCATGGGTGATTGAGCTGGTTTGGTTTGTCCTACTGGCCCATCTCTGCTTCAGGAAACCCTGTTTTGCTGCTCTCTCATGTCTGCTTTATGTTCTTGAACCATAATGAAAATTCACAGTAATCCCCTTGCACAGGGAGGTCTGTTTTTAATGCTCATGTTGTGAAAGAAATCATTGGTACCTCCTTAGAGGTGAACCTTGCTGGGCTTGAGCAGAAAGCCTGGATCTTTGCTGGGGTTAAAAATCTTTGCAAAATACCAAAATCTCTTAGTATTTATAAGCCTACTCATCTGAATGCTATTTTCACTTTCTTTCTAGGATCTTGTGGGTTTGGCAAACAGCATCCCATTTATTTTGGGAAGATCTTTCTTTTTCCAAGTATCTTCCTAAAACACCCTCCCCAAAACCTTCTGCCTTGTGCCAAGAGTTGCTTAGCATAATAACTATGTGGGTATTTGGGGAGCTGGCATCACACTGGTGTTTGATCCAAGATCCAAGAGCCAGGGCCTTTGGATCTGCTTGTTTTCCTGTTTTAATTTTCAATCCTGGAGATGGATATTCATCATGGCACTGCTTTGGTGAGTGGAGTGCTGCCAACACAGGCAAATCGCATCCTCTCCCTCAGAATCACTGTCCAATTAAATAATTGTGACCCACAAAAATGTGTCATTTTGGATTTGAGATCATCTGCCTGATGCAGTTTCCGGGGCCAGCGTGCTGCAGTGCTGGGTTTAGGGTAATCTGTGCTTTAGTTACCTGCAGTTATTGTGTGATGCTTAAGAATTTGAGGGTTTAGCTCCTTTTCAAAGATGTTTACAGTGTTTATCCCAACACCAGCTATTCTCATTCTATGTGTAAATGTCAGGTCCCTCTTGAACTCTGCAGCTTTTGCCTCGGGGCTTTACAGAAGTAAAGCACAGAGAGCTCCTTAATGCCCTTCTGCTGATGCAGAAGGGAGGGAAGCTGGGAGAGCAGGAGGATATATGGTGTATTTGAGGGCCATGCAAAGAGAGCACGGATATGGCTTGGGAAAGGGCACTTTCTCCATCCACCCCTCTAGAGACAGTCGAGAGAAGCCTTGGATTGTCAGAAGCAGGTTTAGACTGTTGTAGTGGGAGGGCTGGGGTTGGATGCTGCTTGCAGCTGTGCTGGGAGCTGTGGTCTGTGACACTTTAGGCTCATAGCCTGTTTTCCTGGTGGAATTTCTGGGAAATTCAGCTGGGCTCAGGCTTTCCTGCAAGGAGAAGGTGCAGTGTCAGTAGTGCCCCATTGCATTGGCATTGATTTCCTGGGATTTTCTCTGGGACTTCCAACTATCTCTTTTAAAAACCCATTTTGTTGTCAAAAGGCCTCATCTTGCCAACATTATTAAAAAGAGTATCATTAAACAGCCAAGAAAGCCCTGATTCTGGAGGGATTGCAGGGACTCTCTGACACTGAAGCGAGTAATAATCTTGAGGCTTGGATTGACATTTTGTCCACAGCTCTGGTAGCTGTTACATTGTCCCTCATGCTGTTATGGCCTGACACAGCTAGTTAAGTCCCAAGCAGCTGGGGCAGGAGCTGTGTGGCTCATCCACATCAGAGAACAGGCTTTGGAGGCACCTGCTGAAGTGTCAGTGACAGTTCTCAATGTGTGAGACTTTATTTTTTTTCCCATAGGAGAAAAAGAAGAAAAAGAAACACAAGAGCAAACAGTCTTCCGAGTCCGACTCCGACAGCTCCGACTCGGACAGCGATGGGGCTCAGCCAGCCAGCAAGAAGGCCAAGCATTCGGGGAAAGCCAGCAAGGCTCAAAAGAAGAAGAAGAAAAAGAAGCATAAGAAGAAGCACAAGGAGTGAGTGAGCAGACGCACAGGGGAACTGACATAGCAAATCCCTGGAAAATACTGCTGGGAGAGCAGGACTGAATCACTTCCTTGCCTCAAGGGCAAGGTGTTTCCTTCTAAAACTAATGCTCAGCCTGTGGTGTTTGAGACTTTGATACTCATTTTCACCGTCACCTTTAGATCTGGGCTGCTGTTCTCTCCCACCGAGGCCAGTGGGCAATGCCTGGAAAAAATAGGCTAATTCCCCCTATTCTGCAGCACCGCTCCCATCCCGTAGCCTTGCGTTTTGCTGGTGAGACCCCGTGCCCTGCGTGGCTGCTTAGGACAGCATCAGCCCGTCGGGAGCCTGCATGACATCAGTCCCTGGATCTGGTTGCCTGTAAAAGGTGGAGCCCTGCAGCCCTCCGTGCTTTTCCCTACCAATCCCTGCAGAGAGCTCCAGGGGGAGTTGCCCCCGTGGCTCTGTGCTCACCGATCCCGCTCTGCAGCTCCGTGTGTTGGATCCGTGTAAGAATGCGGAGCCCGAATCGCAGCCCGGTGCTGTCATCTCGGAACAGCTCCCAGAAAGGACAGCTGATGTCCCTGCGGTTGCCTGTTTCCTTTCCCAGCATAAAGCAGGATTGTAACCACCTCCGTGCTGGAGGAGCTTCATTCATGGTTACGGTACAGAGCCCCACTAGGTTTTGTTCATTTTCTTGGCAAACAGTTGGAGTGGGAAACTCAGAAGTAACGCAGGGAGTGGAGATACTTTATGTAAACACGGTGTGGCGTATTCGCTCGCTTTGTAAATGATGGAAAATAAATTTATCAAATCCCCATTGAACTTTGTACCGCATTTTTTCCCCCTTCTGTGTGCTCTGCACTTCGTCTTGGCCAGGAACACAAAGGCAAACCTGCAGGAGCGGGGAGGTGAGCGGCACTGGAGCGTTTGGAAAGTCTGCTGAGGACAGGGAGGAGGAAACACTGGAGTCGGAGCCATGGTGGCTTTTCTGGAGGTTACCTGGAGTGCCTAGAGCTGGTGAGGTGACCCTGAGAGAAGCCTCGTGGAGCAGATGTGTTTTGGCAACAATGCGAGGTAGCAACTGAAGTAAAAATCTTAATTAGGAGCAAAGGTCTCTGCAGAAGGAATCATAAAGGGTCAAGCAGGACCTGCAACATGGGGCTATCTCAGCTCATCCCCATGACCTTGGTGACCACAGAGGAAAGGCTGAGGGAGCGATTCCTGCTCTCGGAGCGGATGTTTCAGACGGGGCTGCTGCCCCTTCGTGCTGCCAAGCGAGCGTGGCCCTGTGCAGGCCCCGTGCAGCTGCAGCTCTTCTCACTCCTGAGATTGCTGCAGGCCTTGGCTGTCCTGTGGAAACAGCACCCTGGCCCGGGTCCCTGCGCTCCGTAAAACCAGGCGCTTTCCATGAGCTGCTGCTCCAGGATGGGGCCGCTCTGAGCGGAGCAGGACACGCTGGAGCCCGGCCTGACCTCAGCCGCTTCCCCAGGGCCGTGTCTCCCTGTGGACAGGCTCCTTTCCCAATCCTGGATGCCCTGTGCTCTTGACCTTGGCTGCTCGGCTGTCAGGCGTCAACGGCAGATGACGCTTTGGCAGCGCGGGTGGCTGCGGGTCTGCTGTGGAACGTTTGCTTTTGCTGGAATGCTGTGTGCTCCTATCCTGGATGATTTATAGCAGAGCTGCCACTGTAGTAAACTAATACCTGCCCCCTCCCAAAAAAGAAAAGGAAAATGAAGCGTGAGCTACGTGTCCCCCTGCCACGGCTGTGTCCTGCTGAGGGGGAGAGGGGGGCTCGCAGCAACCCTCAATGCAGCTGGCCTGGCCAGAGTGTCATTTCACTGCTGTGATTTGAGGGGCTAGAAAAAGCCCTAGTGACCCTCTGTGTTGTCCCAGTGTGGGCACATGGGTGGCTTCAGTGTCTCCCCCTTGCCCCAAGGCTGGTGCTGCCCTTTCCCTCTCCACCCTGGTGCCTCCTGCCTCTGTGGTGACCCCAGACCTGGACGGTCTCACAGGGGGACCTGCCTTTCTGCTGCCTGTCAGCAGAGCTGGGGCAAAGGGGAAGCTCCTCGGTTAACCTGTCCTCTCCCTCTGCTGTTTTAGAGCTGTTGGATGACCAGGAGACCTGCTGGGACCTGCTGGACTTCACTAGAGAAGCCACCGCTGGACTTGCTGCTGTTCAAACCCAGGGGCTGCTCTGCACAGGGCCCAGGCGCCCACGGTCTCCTGGGTGGAGGTGCAAGCTCCAAGCAGGAATTTGCCCCACTTCTCCCAAAGCCCCATCTGGGCCAGGACGCCCCCACCCTGCTGCACATGGCCAAGTCCTCCCAAACAAACCGCTCCCAGAGCTGTAACAACATTGGCTTTATTATTTTTCCACAGGGGTTCTTCCATTATTTAAAAAAAAAACAAAACAACAAAACAACCACCCAACCCCAAGCACCCCCCGAGGCAACAGGGCAGCGCAGGGATCCGGCAGCTCCGGAGGGCTCCAGTGGCAGCTCCGACGGACGGCGGCCCCCCCTTTTTAGGGGCCAGGGTCAATTGGGCGAGGTCGGCATCGGCACGGGGCTGGCAGGGGGCCCTAGGAGGCCCTCTCGTAGGTGCGGATGGACACAACGCTGCCCATGGTGAGGGTCTGGGAGGAAAAAACAAAGCCAGGGGTTGTGGGGGTGGAATGAGGGATCATCACCGTCATCCCGGCAGCTCCACCGGACATTTCCTAGGCACTCACCAGGATTAACTTGCCGTCCTTCAGCTCCCGCACTAGCGATGTCTCCTTTCCATCCCACTTCTGCACGTGGACGAGTTTGCCACCTTCCAGCTTGACCACGGACTGCGAGGGGAGAGCGGACACGTCCCATCACACCCAGTTCGGTCGCCGGAGAGGAGAGGGGAAAAAAGGCTCCAGGAGCCCCCTTGGCTCTCACGCTGCCAACCAGATCCCGCTCCGTCCACGGCTGGACCGCGGCTGACAGAGCAGCTGACGCCTGTGCCCTGATAACCCGGCTGGGGTGCCCCTGTCCTTTCCGGGCCACCACGGCCAGCCTGGCCTGCCCCTCGTCCTGCTCCGGAGGCGCTTTCGGAGCGGGGATGGAGTCACCGCGCGTTTGCACAGCCCCGCTCTTGCCTCGGGCCCGATGAGGTTGGTGCGACAGCCGGCTCCGGAGGATCCCGGGGTTGGGTGAGGACAGGCAGCACGGCTACACCCGGGGTGCCCCTGTCCTTTCCGGGCCACCACGGCCAGCCTGGCCTGCCCCTCGTCCTGCTCCGGAGGCGCTTTCGGAGCGGGGATGGAGTCACCGCGCGTTTGCACAGCCCCGCTCTTGCCTCGGGCCCGATGAGGTGGGTGCGACAGCCGGCTCCGGAGGATCCCGGGGTTGGGTGAGGACAGGCAGCGCGGCTACACCCGCCCGACCCCCTGCTGTCTGGAACGTTGTTTGCCCCGGGTGTCCCCTCTGTACCCAGGTCCTCTTGTGCCAAGGGGCTCCTCACAGCAGGGATCAGCCTGCACCCCCATGGCTTAGGGGTCTCCATGGTCTGGGCCCCCCCTTCCCAATGCACACCCACACCTTTGGTCTTCCCAAGGCTCCTTTCCCCACCTCAGACGTTCCCGGGATGCAGGTCATCCCAGAACCTGGGTCTCTCCATGCATCAGGTGAGCCCTTGGCTTAGAGCCCTGCAAGCCTTGGTGCCCCACTGCCTGGCTCTCCTGTGGCTCAGACACCCCTCAATTTGATCTTCCCAAGACTCATCTCCTGCCCTGCCTCAGACACCTCCACAGTGCAGATCTCCCCCTAACTTGGGTCTCCCCACAGCTTGGGTGTCCCCTTTTCTTGGTGTCCCTGTGGCTAGGGTGCCCCACAGCACAGCTCTCCCATGGCTCCTATACCTCCCCCAGCTGGGATCTTCCCAAGGATCCTTCTCCCTCGTCCTCCCGCAGCCCAGCTGGCCCCCAAAACTGGGCTGCCCCATGACCTGGCTGCCCCCTGCCTCAGCTCCCCAGCCTGGATGTCCCTGCGGTCCAGGTGTCCCCACAGGTGCCCCCCGGCACCCGCAGCCCTTCCTCCCCTCTGTCCTCCCTGGCTGGTGGCCGAGGGCCGTTTGAAGGACGTGTCCCCCGGCCGCGGGAG